CTTCATTTAAAATAAAAAAAATATTTGTATACTTATAAATAAAAAAAGAACTTAGGAAAAAATATATAGTAACTACACAGTAATAAAATAATAGTAAAGTTAAATACAACTTTTATTAAATAATTAGTTTAAATAATTTTTATGGTCATTTTATAGGAATAGCACGTTACGATATTTGATTCTCATTATGGCGACAATTATATCAATAGTTTTAACGTCTGTTTTTACGGCAGTCTCAAATAGAAATTTGACATATAAAGCATGGGTGCCGTTCAACTATTCATATCCTGCTTTATACTTTCTTGTTTATACTCACCAACTGATAGGCATGGCAACTTCCGGTATAGTAAATGTCGCTTGCGAGAGCGTCATTTGTGGTCTTTTATTACACATCTGCTGCCAACTTGAAATTTTGGAGTATCGATTGACAAAAATGACGCATGGTGAAGACGTTCTGCGTGATTGTGTTTCTCATCACAACCGTATCTTTGAGTTGGTTCCTTATGTACTTTGAAAATCTGAATTATATATGTACAATACAAAGTTCAGTTTTCATAAGAATCGTTCTTTAAATCATACAAAATAATTAAAAGATATAAATAAAGTATAAATAAAGCGTTCTAAACAATGTCTTAATTTTACAGATTTTATTTAAAATTAATTTTATTGAATTAATTTGATTCTTTCTTTCTTATTTATTAAAAATCTCAGAGGTAAAAATTTAATATGTGTATCTATCTTAATTATTTTATTAGATATTAAATAGTAATGAAAATTTAATTTATGTATAACTTTAAAGGCTATTTGCATGAAACTAAACCTCTTATATTTAATCACAGATATGCATACACGGTAAATGATATGTTTGCGAAAATAATTGGTCTCCAGTTTGCAGTGAGCATGTTAGTGGTATGTTCGAATTTATATCGAATAGCAATGGCGACAGATTATGTGACATTCATTTCATTGATGATGTATACAGGTGCCATATTGACACAAATTTTCATCTATTGTTGGTTTGGAAACGAAGTTAAAGCAAAAGTATAATATATTTCTCTCAAATAAATTAACATGCATTTTATGAATATAAGTATATTATTAGAACTATAGGCTACGGTCCATTTGATGCTACGAATGCTTTGAAGCATTGATCGATTAATCAAATGCTTCGAAGAAATAGCGTAAAGTAGATCGCATCCATAAATAATATAAAAAAGCTATATTTATAACAAAATTGGAATGAATGTTTGTGTTTTGTAATGTGCAATATTTTTGTATCCCATAGAGCCTTCAGTTGAATAATATTTATAATATACAATGGCCGTCACTTAGCAATAGCAGCAAAAAAGGTCTCTTAATAGTCATGAGACGCGCAATGAATCCTATCGAATTTAGTAGTGCGTACATAATCACGATGAATCTTGAATCGTTTGTAGCTGTTAGTATCAAAGATAAATATTATTGGTAAATATATTACAACTACTTTAAATAATTTTTAATTTACAATTTTTACAGTTACTGAAAATGTCATACTCGGCTTTCAATTTGTTGCATCAAACGCAAGATTAATAATAAATGATTAAAATTATTATTCAATTAACAAACGTTATTGTTCAACGTGTTATGAAATCACTTACATTTTAATTATCATTTATATTTCATTTCTTTAAATACAAAATTCATACTTCATTAGTAACTAGATAGACTTTCACGAAACTTGTACAATTCTTATTAAAAATCTTTATTGACGTTAATTTTAGTAAAGACATTAAAAGAGAAATAAAAATTTCATAAATTAAATCATGTTAGTACTTCAAAAATTTCATATTAGTACTAAAAATAAAATTATTACAAGCATTTTTGTAATGTGTTTTCTTCCATATTTCTCCATATTTCTAATGTAATGATGTTACAAAGTATTAAAACTATTTACTTTTTGTCCAAATATTCTGATTTATTTGTTAGCATCTTAGGCAACAAAATATTTTGGATTGGATTAAACGTTACGGAAATATTATAGCAGACACAGTTCCATATAAGCAATTATAAAAAAAAGTTTAGTTTAAGTTATTATCAATGTAGTGACGTTTGGGTAGATTTATTATTAAATCTAATTAATAATTAGAATTTTTTTCTTATATTATTTATTTTCATTGAAGGACAGAATATGCAAATTATAATACAGTTTTAAAACATACAATAGTGGAAGCATTGAGGTATCCAAATACAATACGCGCACGCCATTCCAGGCGTGCCTTTTTTTAATTTTCCATATAACTTAAGGAAAACTATAACTTCAAAAATTTTATAAAAAGTTACCGAAATATCTAAAGATGAGTTTTTGCAAAAATTTTTAATTTTTAATAAGTTTTAAATTAAAAAGATAATGTTAAAGTAATTAAAATTAAAATAATTTAAAAAATATTATTAGTTTTTCAAATAAAAATGCTTATGCCTTACCGATCATTTTTTTTCGCTTGTAGCTACACAGCATTTGACTTTCCACGTCAGATATTAATATGTGAGAGAACAATATTTACAATCCATCTATACAATATTATGTATATTTACAATCCATCTATAATAAAATACACAATTTTAGTACTTACAACGTTTTTATGTGGCTTACTTCAGTTATACTTTGACTTTCTTGCGTATTGCATCTCGATGCATAAGAGCCAAGTTATAAACTGTAAGGTAATAAAAAAGTATACCATGCAATGGTATATTCTTGATATTGCGAAAATATATGGTAGTAATAAGTATTTTGTCATAGGTACAATAAGAAAACTATATCAATCGTGGAAGTAGTTGAAGGCTAATAATTTATTAAAGAAAATTCTAGGAATTTACTTTTCCGAATTATTTATCTTACTTCTGTACCGCTATAGCTATGTAAAATAACGGAATATTACGCAACTTTTCAATAAAATATATATATCTTGTAAAAACGTTGTGCCTTCGTTCGTAAAAATATTCTTTGACATTTATCGTAGATGCAATATTATGTTAATAATCCATCTGAAGACAAAGACATATTTGTAAGGGATACAAATAGCATCACTACCGAAGATAGAATCATAAGACTCATAGGCATTCAAAGTATCTCGATCCTTTGTAATCCTTTGCTCTATCTATTTTTGTTTAAGATAATGACTTACATATTATATTTATTTTTTTGTGTGTTAATTTAATTAATTAATTTTGCAAATATATTTGATAGGCAGGATAATATAAAATACAAGGGGGTGAATTAATCAGTAAGTTAAAGTAAAAAATATAAAAATGTAATACATGTTATACATCCAAAGTTTAACGTTTAAAAAAGATTTATATACAAAATTCATATTCAAAAAAAGATTTATATCCAAAATAATTTATTTATTAACTAATTTGAGATTAATTTAAAAACTATATAAAGGAGAGAAATATATAAAAACAGTTTTTACAAAAATATATTTCTTATAAATAAAATAAAATTAAAAATAAGATTTCAACAATAATTTCGAGATAATATTGTAATTAGTACCTCTTGAGCTTTATAATCTTTCTTATTGTTTTTTATAATAAAATTACATTTACTTTGTGTATGTAATTTTTATAAATGAGACATTTCAATTATAATAAACAGTGTTTAAAATATTATGTAAGAAATATAAAGGATATTAAATTTCTAATATAATTGTATAAACTGCGACTAAGAATCTGGTTAAAACTTCGTACATATCTGTCATAATTGACGATACAGTTTTCTCAAATATCCTCCTAAAAGGAGACATTAATCGGCGTAATCGTGCACGAGTTATCACCAAATTAACACATTTTAATTAATTTGGTATTCAAATTTAGTGTTTGTGTCAGTACGACAATCTTAAATTCTCAGAGTATTGCTTATGCTGCTCTTGTTTTGTATAGTCGCGCAGTTAATAAGCAAGCTCTGTTTATTGACGGATTTAATTACTTCATTAAGTATCACGCGAATTTCAATATTCCAAAATACGTTCATTTTCATGAAAATTCAACATTAGCTATTTTAAGTGTAATGTTACATCTATCCGATAAATTTTAATCAAAATTTCTTACATTGAAAGGTCTTATAATTAATAGCAATTTGTGTAGGAAAAATTGAATTAGAACAGTTCAAATGCACGTGCTGAAATTTACCCTCACTATCTGTACAATTGCTGGATTTTGGCAACCGCCTTCATGGACATCCTTGTTGAACCATATAGTTTACAAAACTTACGCAATGTTTCTGGTCCTTTCATTAAATATATTTGCAATATCCCAATTCATGAACATCATACTGAACGTCGATAATTCTGACGAACTCACCGATTCATTATACATGATGTTGACCGTATTTATCGCGGGTTATAAAAATATTTGTTTGTGGATAGATCGTAAAAATGTCAGAATGCTAGTCAACGTTCTCCATAAAAAACCTTTTGAACCAAATGAATTTCACGAAATAACAGTTCGACAGCAATTTGATAAAAGGATACAGTAAGTATATACATATATATATATATATATATAATATATTCATGTAATATTTAATTGTAATAATATACAATATTCTTTAAATGCATTTATCTCACAACTTACATAAAAAATTCTTTATCTTTATATTTAAACAAATTAAAAATTAATTAAATAAGAATTGGTAAATAAATTTATTTATAATGATATAATTATGAGAGAATAAGATATTTCAGTTATAATAATCCAAAAAATATTTAAAAATAAAATAGCAAGTAAAGTTTAAAAAACAAATATTATAATAGTAAAAAACAAATGAGAGTGGACAATGTATAATTGTGATCATTTTATATATAGGAATGTTGCGATGCGGTATTTAACCCTCGTAGGTTCATCAGTTCTCGTAGTAACTGTATCATCTATCTTCATGGATTTTTCAAAAGGAAACTTGACGTACAAAGCATGGATACCATTCGATTATTCAACCCCAATTGCATTTACTTTCGTATATACTAACCAAATGATAGGCATGTCATGTTCCGGTTTAGTAAACGTCGCTTGCGAGAGCCTGGTTTGCGGATTCTTGTTGCACATATGTTGTCAATTCGAGATACTGGAATATCGATTGAAAAATATCAATCAGAATCAAAACATTCTGCGCGATTGTATTAATCATCACAATTATATAGTTAAGTTAGTTTCTATGAATAATTTTCTTTTTCTTGAATTTGAAATATGTGAAATACAAAGTATTATCTTTTTTATAACAGTTTTTTTATATTCTTGCATTAAAATCATACCAAAATATTCAAAATTTTTTTATTGGCTAATAAATATATGTTATATACCACAGATTCAGAAAATTTTGACTTGAATTTTATGATATAGATATATTTTGCACTTATTTTAATAACTAATCATTAAATACATTTAACGACGTGGACT